TCTGAAGTGGGGATATGAAATCTGCAAAAGAGGATCTTTGCTAACTGCAGAGTTGTGTTTCTTGTGTAATTGTGAAATGCGGAGTTGTATTTTTTTTGTGTAATTGTGAAAATCCAACCAAATGAGACCAAAATGTAAGCCTCTGGAAACCCCAGTTTCACAAACGAGCTGCCGCTGGGATGTTTTGGTAACTGCTGGGGAGCTGCTGCTGAGGTGAGCCCTGCGCCCGCGGCGGTTGCTGCTGGTGGCGGGGGCTGTGTGGGTGTTGGTGCGGGCCATGCTGATGGGCTTTTCCACCAGCTAGTGCGGCGCTCAGCGCGCGGGGCTGCATGTGGTGACTAAAAGGGGCCCTTGTAAACTGGTCAGGTAATTAAGACAATTAAAGGCTATATTTTATCCTTTCTGATTCTGCAGAAATCCTGACTGACACCAGACAAGGCACAAACCGGTTGCTTTGCTGGTGGCTGTGGTTCAGCTTCGGGGCACCTGGATGTGCCTTGCAGAAAGCCGAGTGCTGGCTGTAACGTACTGAGGTCAGTGAAAACCCAGGTCACAAATTGAAATGCTGAGTCCACCGGCAGAACTGCACTCCTACTTATGACATTGAGTCTGCCAAAACAGGCGTTGATTCTGTCTGTTCTGATTTTCATGTGTGTGTGAAATAGTATCGCTCTCAATCATACCGATGTTATAAAAGTGAAAGAGGCTAAAGCGACACAAGTCTGTAGGGAAACTAAGACTTTTCTATCCATCATAGGATGCTAAGTACATACTGTGTGTGACCACCCAGGACAATTAGACAGTGCTAATGTTGTCTGTGTAATGTTTTGAAGTACTTGCTTGTTTAAATGTCTAATTCTGTGTTCCAGTTTCTGACACCTGTTATTTTTTTTTTGATTACTTTGACGTAGTCTGTGAATACACGGCAGAGACAAGTTCTACCTGACCAGGGAGCGAGTTGACATCAGGGGTTGAGGGAGCTGTGTGTGCTCAGTGAAGAGAAGCTCATATTAAATTGCTTCTTGGCAAAGAGGAGGTTAAAGTGTGCCCTGGAGGCAGCTTTGGAACTGCTCTGCAGGTAGTAGCCGGAGATGATGTGCTGTTCTCAGTAGTGATACAAGGGGCAGCAGCCACAAATCGAGTTTCAGGAGGTTCAGATTGTGCATTAGGAAAAATTCTTCACTAGGACAGTGCCACAGTGGGCAGGTCACCCAGAAAAGACTCTTCAAACTCAAATATCTTTCATAAGGGCTAATCTTTCCTGGCCGGTGATGGGGGGTACTGGGGGTACTGACAAGTAATCTCTTTCAGTAGCAGCTCTTTGGTTGCCCAGTACTCAGGGCTTCTTTTACTTTCTAGACAAGGACTATGACAGAAAATGAGGCAAGAGGTTACAGAAATGGATATGATAATTGGGGTAGGAGGAGAATAGTAGAGTTTACCATAACTTATTAATGCAATAGGCTTAACTTCTGTTAGCATTGGGGTTTAATAACAGCTCTCTTTTGCATTCTATTTTCCAGGAATGAGAACATGATGTGTCTTTTCTGTGGCTGTGTCTTCAGTAAAAGGCATTCCTGTTTCCAAGGCAGAAATGTCACAAAGAGGTAGGTACAAGTGAAGAGCTTATTCCTCACCATTTCATTTGCTGACAAATGTAGAACAGAACGCAGTTCTGTTCACAGCTACCAAGGACAGGAAACTGAATTGCCTGTAGGCATTCACTTCATTGTGAATTTATGGTGTGACTATAATATTTGCATTAATCCCATCAGCACAAAGCATACATAAATGCATTCAGAATTATTTTGTCTTGCTTATACAATTTACATTAAGATCCATATGCAGAATTGTATTTTCACAGCAAGTTTTACACATAATATTAAAATTTTTTTCTCCTTTTTCTCCCATCAATATGTTGCATATTTTTAAGTCTAGCTGGGCTCAGTGCCAGCAAGGAACTACAAGGATCTATGGCAACTGCCACATTTGCACTTTTCATTTACAAATCGGTAACTAAACTCTCATTAAATATTCTTAACCAGCCTGTTCAACATATGTTTGCTTGGATATTAGTACTTATAAGTTGAAACAAATTAGATCAGTAGCTAAATTTGTTTCCTAATAGCCAAAGATATTTGAGAAAGAATAGATTTTGAAATGTAGAAGTGGCAATGCTGCCTTTCTCCTTTATTCTTTTAAAAATGGGACATTCAGCTCTGCCCAGGCAAATGAAGAAGGTGGGAATTTGAACTCCGTCCCCACATTTTACTTCTGTGGTAAGACTGGTGTAGGGAGAGCTTTGAAATGAAGCCAGAAAACATCCACTAACTAGTGTGGCTTACAAATTAGGTTTTGTTTTGAGACATATTTTCTTCTATTTAATTCTCCGTGTTTCTCCCTTTCAGACATAAAAAAAATGCATTTAATGGGTTTGTACTAAGACTCTCTCTTGCGAAGAAGCATTTTTTATCTTTGACTTCTAACAGCACTGACACTAATTGCAGAAAAAAACACCTAACAAAAGAAGGTGCAAAATCATGGACACTAGATCGTGTAGACCTTTAAAAAAGTTATTGTCTCTGCTTAAGTCATTGTTTCATGCACTTGCAAAGATTGTTAATGATCAGCTTTTAATTAGCTTAACTGTGTTATCAAAACCATAGCGAAAAGCGTATCGTTATGCTTTCAGGTTTGTGCTGCTGTGTCTGGAAGTCGGTGGCAGCTCATCCAGCCGCGGTGTGCCAGAGATGCCCCCGTGCCAGCGCGCTGCCTGCCCGCGGGTGCGCCCGCCATCGTGTCTGTGTGTCTTAACAAAGTTCCTCACAGATTTAATTTCTGCTTGTACAAACCTTTGATACGTATTTCCGTCAGTGGAGATTATCAGCAAGTAACAGCTTGGGCTTTTTGAGCAGTTTGTAGGTTTTGGTTATATCTTTGTCTGACTAAGGAAGGTTAAACTGTGACATAATATCTTTGTGTTTCTGGAACAGAATTCTTCAGGACAAAAAACCTTAGCTTTTGCCACATAACCCAGGACTCTGACAAGTCTTTTACTTTTTCAGTAGACTTGCCCTATCCCTGATCTTGCTTTTCATTTTCAGAGATAAGACAACCTTTTTTCCCTGGAGAGACCTGGACACACAGCTTCCTTAATTCAAAGCCAGAAGAATCAGTTGGGAAGCATGTGTTGGTAACAGATCCAACGGCAGCAAAATAGGTCTTTGTGTTAACTATATGACAGTGTCAGCTGGGAAGCGTAACTGAAATATAACATACAGCATCGTCTGACACCTAAAATGAACACAATTGCTAAGATCCCTTTTTTTAAGAAAAAAACAAGTGTGCTTTGTTCAATGTGGATCCTTAAGACACTGGTCCACAGGTGTGTGTGGACCAGTTTGGGGATTTGGCCCCTAGTGAGAGACTTCTGAAAGCCACTGGAATTTAGAAAATTATTTTGACACATTTTTTTCAGGGCTTAAACTGAACTACAGGGAAGAGCAAACGCTTTCTTTTTGGCTTATCTTTAGAAGCAGGTTTTTCTGTCTGCTGCTCTGACCCAGGCTTGCCTGGCATGTTCAGTGTGTGACCTGCATACTGCGTGTACATAAAACTATCAGCAGCTGAGCAGGTGGTGAAGAACAAAGCACCACAAACGAAAATGTTGAAAGCATGTTTGAAAACACTGTAACTGCAGGAGTGGTTTGTTTGCTTTATAAGCATATTGGTGTTGAGAGGAGAAGAGAAAGGAGAAAACAAAGATCCAGAGCAGCAGTGCAGGCATTAGCTGCCCTTCTCTGTGCCGAAATAGATTACTTGCAGTTTCTTCAGGTGAAAGATTGATTTAAAGATTTATCTTCCTTCTGTAGGAATAGGGTTATAACCAATTACTTATTGATAAGTAAACTGAAATAGATGAAGAATTAAGGCTTCTTTTTAAAATGAAGAAGTTTTGTTGTTTAATGATTTCATTTTTTAAAAATACATATCCTTTACAATTCTGTGAGACCAAAGGAAGTTTTGTAAACTATTTGATTGTTTTAAGAATACATTGAAAACCTTGGGAAAGCATCTCTTCAAACTCTATCTACAGTACTTCAGTGACACTAAGCTATTTTTCACACAAAGTCTAACAGAACAGAAGTAGCCTTTATTCCGATGACAGTTTGCATATTTAGTTTGCTGCATTTTTCAATGCCAGTTAAAGCTTGTAAGTACATCTGTGACACAGTGCAAAAAAGTTCAAGGCCAACATGTTTTGGAAGAAATAACATTTTCTTTTTTTTTTTTTTTAAGTATCATATAATTTATTTTATAAATGTGTTTAAATGTCAGCTGTTGACTAGCTTAAATACATGCTGGATGGTATTTGTCTGAAAATCAGAATAACAAAATGCAGCAATTGGCCTAAACCATTTCCATTAGTGTCAGTTAGCATAAATATTCTGTGATCTTCATCTAAACTTCTTGCCTTGTTTATTTTAGAGTTATTTATTACATGGCTGCAGAGAGCTCACAAAACTGACAACATTGTATTTTAGCTAGTGGTTGAGGATTATCAAACTTTTTGTTTGAGATAAATCACCCAGCACTGTATTGCATATCTAAATGGCTTTCATCTACAGAGTTGGGCTGAAAATCTTGAGGAGAGGTCTTTTATGAATCTTCAGACTTTTCCCATCTCTGACCAGGTCAAAAATATTTCAAAAAATACTGTGTTTTGTTATTAATGAAGGTTTAGGACAATGTTTTGTGTGCACAGTTGTGTACTTTGTTGTTGTCCCAGTCATTACTTTATTTTCATTGCAAGTAAATTTGGTTTTCCTGGGTCTTTACAACTAATTTTATCATGGTGAAAAGTGTGCCATTGTGATGCAAGAGAGGAGCAGGAGTAGCAAAACTGAACTGTTTCTCGTGTCTTCAAAAGAAGTCAAAACACAGATTTCCAATAATCCCGCATCACCATCTGTAGTTAGAGGAGAAGAATTACTAGTCCATGCACAGGATGAGAACCAGGGTCACCTCTACTCTTAGTGCAGCATCCTTTGGCTAGTTAATTACAAAATAAAGTATTGTAAGGATATTGCACTATTTCTGTTCAGTTGAATTGCTCTATAAAAAGCCTACGTGATTTAAGTGAAAAAAAAAAAAAAAAAGGCAAGTTATCAGTGGTTAATCTGAACCTTCCTATTGCCATAGATTTGATAAACATCTGTAGACTGTTACTGCCAGCGGAACTGAGCTGCAGGCAGAGAACTCCATGGAAGTACCAGCTGCAAGTGTCTCTGAAATAACACCTTAGAAAAACAGGCAGTGGGTGAGCTGCCCTAGTAGGTATGTACCTCCTACCTTTGCAGTATGGCTATGGAAGTACCTGCAATGGAAAATACTCAAAGTTTTTGGTGATAAAATACTGTTGTTTTTTGTTTTGTTTTGTTTTGTTTTTTTTTCCTGTGGACTGGCACAGCTGCTAGAAGGAAGAATGGGGGAGCACAACTTCTATTTATTTAAACCTTTGTAATAACCCCACTACCATCAAGGAATACAGTTTCATCTGCAGTATATTCCTCAGTATCCTCAGTGACACTGCACCGTTCATTCACAATACCAAATGGTAAATGGAAAGCTTTCAGGAAAAAAAATCACACGTGAGTTACATGTATGCTTATGTATATAAATATACTAGTAAATAATCAGGAGCTGTTGCAGCAGCTCTTGTATATGCAGCCTCATGACAAACACTAGTTGTTGCTTATGTAAGCAGTTATGCTCTTTTCCTTATTTACTCTTTAGAACAAACCATTCAAATTCATATGGTTACATGTTACAGATGCTTATTCACTGTTGAAAGAGATGGGGCAGCCAGTAACTTTAAAGTCTGTGTACTTTAAGTAACTGTAGAAATCAAATGGTCTGTATAACCATGCATACTGGTCTTAAGTTCATGCATATATATGATTCCTATCCACACTCTATGCTTATAGTCAAAGACCTTGGTCTCCAGCTATATTTGAAAAGTGCTTTTGTAATCTAAATTTATTAATTTATCACCTATACCTCCATAAATTGACTGAGGGCTGTGACATATGTGTTGGAGTGTGATGATTTAACTTTGTTTCTTGAGCCATCCTTCTCCTTTCATGTGAATGTACTGCAAAATAACCAGGCACGTTGATGACTGACTCTAAGTTCAATTAAACCCTTCATCTTGCAAGCTATCTAACCTGCCTGCCTGGATAAAGTGTGACTTAAGCCTTTTGTTTTATTCTCTGTATGGTCTTGTGCATGGCCCTATGCCCAGAAAAGAATATTTCACAAAAATTCCTGGAGTGTATGCAATAAGGCATTCCACTCCACAGCAAACCATGCACTCCTGGACACTACTTCTCTTCTATCATGGGACAAAGGAGTAACTTATACCAAATACCAAAACCCAAGGAAAATATGCTCAAGTTTAAGATAACTGTGAGAGATGCTAGCTATTACATTTAAAATTGCCCACTTTCAGTGAGGTAGAAATGCTCAAAGTGGGGTTCAGTTAGAAAAAAAAAAACAATGTGAATTATTTTTTTATATATATATATAAAATTATAAACACAACACATTATTTTATATATATATATATATATATATATATATATGTGAAGAAAAAAAAGGCTAAAATTGTACCTGTGTAAAACATTAGGCATTGGAACACAGCATTACTAGATAGAGGAGCTGCTAGAAAGCCTGGCAAGATATTGGAAGGCTGATAAAGCTGAAAGATTGAAGATTTACTAGAACGTCTAGGAAACAAATCCTTCTTGCCTTGTTTGCAACCTGAATTATACTGACAATATCCTGATCAATGTTACGCTGTTTGGGAAAAGGGATGACAGTAGGCTGTCCTGTATTTGTTCCTCCTTTAAATGGTCAGAAAAGGAGAGCTTATATGCATTCTTTCAGTTTGCCATCGTAAGTATAGTAATAACTTCGAAAAATAGGAGAATATAATTTTTAAAAATTTAGCTTCTGGTAGAAGTAATGAATTCATTCAGCAGAACTAATTCTCTTTAGTGTGGTAGTTGAGAGCACTGCAAAGAATTAAGGAATAAGTGAGCTGCATGTTTACCTTTGAATGGAAATAAAGATAAGATGGTCTTTTTGACTAATCTAGGCTGTATCCTGAACTCTAGCAAACAGTGTATATGTCCCCCAATCTTCCAGAGAGAATCACAGGAGAATTGCTGGTTGCATGGACAATTTCTGACTTCGTTACTTCTATCACTGCCTGCAAACTGGACATAATGAAAAAGCAGAAAACCTGTGAGCTGATCTTACGCTGAAAGCAAGTCTCTTGTAGTTCTCAAGTTAGTTTGGATAGCCCTCCTGCTACGCTGATTTCTGGAAAAAATGGCACCTGAGAAAGAGAGCCACATGGAGTTCCCCCTAATCTCTTCTGTATATCTGTACGTAATTTAGCTGTGTGAAAAGCTGGAGTCTGGGCGGTGAAATCTGTCCTAGTGGTAGGTAGGTACCAGGCCACCACCTCTACTCAAGTTCTGCATTTCTTTGAAATGATGGAAGGCGGCTAATAAGCAACTATAAATCCTGTGTCTGATTACTTTAAGGCAGATGTCCCAGTGCTGAGATGTTCTGGGCTTGATACTTGGTTAAAGAGCTGAGGAAACATTTTGCATCCTGTGGCCTTATTGACTAAGGGGCATCTGGATGTGTCTATGTGGTTCAGTGATGCCTGGAGTTGTTTCTATTGGAGAAAATATAGTTAGCAGTCAACCAGAAAAAGAGGTGAAAATAAGCACACTTAATAGGACTTCTTTGAGATATTTTCTGCTGTTAATCCCTCCTCTCCCAGGCTTATATGACAGCTACTCTTTAAGAAAAACCCAGCAGGAACAGTTCTGAGAGGTCTTTAGCTCTAGGCAATGTTACAAAACATGAATAGATTGTAAACTGTGAGCATAAACCATTATTTTCCGAGCAGCTTTACTGAAGGGTCATTTGTGTTTCAATAATCTTGTTGGCTGTGATAGCTGTAGCAGTCATCTGTTGTGTTCCATGGTGACAGCTAGGGAGCTCTATGTAACGTTCTTTTTATTTTTTAACCTATGGCAATGATAAATTTAATCGTTAAATCATAACATTTTATTTTGAGACTATCTCCAGCCTTCTGCTTTTATTTACTTTGTGAAAACTGCTGAGTGGAAATAAATATGTTTTTAATTGAATCTGTTTTTACACTGTTCTTTATTGTTTGAAGGTCCAGCTGACTGAACCAACCTCAGATCCAGGAAAAGTTGTAGAGGAGACTACTGATAGCTGGTATTCTGAATTCTCCTTTTGGAAGTTGTCCTGTGGGTGCTGCATCTGGGTGGTAGAGCCATTGTGGGATTTTTATTTCATTTGACACTACAGGTAAGAGGGATTTCAGACAGTTGCAATGGTATTGAGTGTTGCTACTTGCTATCCTTGTAATAATGGTTGAATTTTATCCTTTTCTTTGAGTATTCTTGTTGTAACGTTAAAAATCTTACGAGTAGGTGGTGTAACAGTGCATATTTCGGTGTATCTGCTCTGGGTGGTTTGGACAATTAAAATCTTTCTGACAAAACCCAAGAGAATGTACCACAGTGCACACTCCTTTTGGCAGCCTGTAGAGCTGGCAACACAGAAAGACAAATAGAGGTTTTCGTATTTTATCTTAGTAATTACATGCTTCAGAGGCCACAGGACCACATTTAATGGCTTTAAGTACACCATGGAAATAAGGAAGAGGAATGTGGTATTGGAAGAATTCCTAAAATGAAAAAGCTTTAGTCCACCTTTTAGCCTATATATCTTTTATCTTACATTACCATGTACTACAAGAAGAAATACCTTGTCCAAACTGATGTTTTTCAACTTCTCACAAGATCGTTCCTGCAGTTCTGAGATAGCCCTTCTGTTTACATTCCAAAATTGAGTTTGTCTATTGTGGCAGAAGTAGAAAAATAAGAAGCTAACCTAATAACGTGTATAATGGTAAACCATGTATGCTCAGCTGCCACTGTGAATGAATGTTTCCTGGTTTTCCAGTCCCTCAAATATTGGAGGCAACAGATGTTTTCTGTTCTTGGTACTTTGTTAAAAGTAAGGGCTTTGGCTGCTATATTTAAGGAAGATTGATGTATGCAGTTTTATACACAAGACAGTTGTGTTAACTAGGTAGCTAAAGTGATTTCAGAAGTGTTTTAGTTAAATTAATGCAACATCTTACTGTATCAAAGATGCTTCAGTTTACAGGATCTGCAGTTTTGTCTAGCTGATTTCAGATATATTGTTTGAGGAGCAGTCATGCAGAAGGAATTGTAACTCTACAGGTTTTTGAACAAACCAAATACCATTGTTTTCATGCGCATAGCAGATTTGACAATTTAGGTTACTAGAAAGCATTTATTGCCTTATAAAAGAAACAGTTAACTCATTTTAGTTGGATATGAAGATTTATATATTAAAAAACTGCAGTCTGTACCTGAGAAAAATGCATAAGAATATGATCTTGTATTGCCGTTAATCTCTTAACTCAGTCTCTCAGAATAATAACCTGGAAGGCATAAGGTACTGTTAAAAAGAGATGTGATTATAGACTCTGATTTTGAGCTGAGCAATTTAGTAACAGCTTGAGGTATTCTTTTTGCCTTAAAACTTGGATGAGAGCTTTTTTTGTAATGAAATGTGGAACTAGAAGATGCTTGTATGTTTTGTGTTTCATTAGCCACTATAGCCTGTGGTAATTTTGGAAAATATCTCAAACACATTTCCAGTTTGGGTGAATTTCATTAAAACCCCTTCCTGATGACTGGGGATATATAATTTTCACTAAAGATCAGCATCAGGGTTGGGTAGATCCACAACCTTTGATTTTTGTCTTGAGCTGCAAATGATAAGCCGTTTACATCGTCACAATTTTACTCTACTGCCAGTCATTTACAGAAAATGGCAGTTTTTAGTGTGGGCCTTGTCACCGTTTCAACAACTATATTATACTTTAAGGAGGGTCTGAAACCTTGTAAATCCATGTAAGTGAATTTGCTTGGGAGGTGAGGGTCATGTTGTTTTGCTCTTCCATGGAAGATAAAGCAGCACAAGATGCTTATGTGGATAAGCACTTAATTTTGACAGACTTAATGTGGTGAGGAATTAGTCAGCATCGCCCTCCAAGTTTGCTTGTATTTACTTGAATGCTGGAAGTGACCACCAAACATTTATAGCACTAAAAGGACAAGATTTGCCAAATCGGAGTCTGATTGGAGTTCGGCAGCTTCCCACGCTTCTCTGCCCTCCCTCACAACTGTAATTACAACTCCCCCCTCTTTTGGCGCTCTCCTAGCTCCTGTTCACCTCCTTTCACTTCATTAATGGGCTGCTGTATTTTTTTTTTGTTACTGAGCTACTGGCCTATGACTACATTCCTTTTTCTTTAGTCTACTCCTAACCATTGCCATGGATACAAACTTAGTTGAATTAAATACTGCCAACATGTTCACAAAGAATAATGACCCAGTGATGTACAAGACAAAGCATATTAGAAGTCAAAGTGATTATACTAATAGGTTTTATTGAATACTAAGCAGGGTATTGGAGGGTTCTTGGGGGGATGCCTTTGCTAGTACATCAGCGTAGTTATGTTGCCACATCCAAGTTTCTCTTGCAAACTGCTGTACTCAGCATTCTGTTCTGACCTTGTCAAACCATGTTTTGTTCTTAGGTCAGTGTCAAATACAAACCTAAATTACACGTGTGCAGACTGCTGTTTAGCACAGTCAAAAATCCTTCTGCTTGGCAAAGTGATTTAGAGATATTAATGAATATGTCTAATGAGACAGTATTTGTGGGGTGGACAAAGATACTGAGCATACAGGCCCCAAAATGAAACATTATTTTTTTGAAGAGTAACACTACATCCTGTTCAGCAAAACCAAACCCCTATTTCTGTCCTTCTTGGTACATTCAATATAGTGTCTTGGCTTGGTCAGCTCAGGGTGGGGAGGGCTCAGTAGCTCTGGTGACCAGCAATGCCTTTGGTGCTGCCGTTTCTAGGGGGGAGCACTGGGTTTGGCTGCTGCAGTGTGTGGACAGGACACTGGCCAGCTGTGTCCCACCTGTCCTATCAAGAGCTGAGGCAGCTCAGGAGACACCTCACACGTGGGTGGAGGGAACCCATGCTGCTTCTCACCTTGTGACTTCTCAACATCCTCAAATGAATGGTGAGAAGGGGACGGATTATGGACAATTTATTGCAAATCAGTGTGAGGCACAGTGTAAACTACAACGGTGCAAACTGCTGCCTCAGCCAAACCTACACATCTTGGTCCTTTATTTCATGACCTTTGTAGTTGAAGGAAACAGAATGGTCCTGTCCATCACCAACAAATTTATTTTGTCACCCATGAAACTTGGCAGAGTTGCCAGTATTTCCTACCACAGGAATGCAGGCTACCAGCCTTGTGCTGAGAAATGCATTTCTTCTGGTGTGCCCAGGCTCTCCCCAGCAGGCTCGTGCTCCTGGGAGGTGGCACATCCTCTGTCTTCCCAGGGGTTTGTGAGATTCAGTCAGTCTTGGAGGAGCATAACCTATGGTTAAATGACAAATACCTGAGATACTGTCTGCCACACTCAAGTCATAGGATAAATGAAGGTCTTTATCATGTTGCAAGGAAACTAGTCATGGTTTTTAAAAAGCTCAGGACTGTCAATATAGCCTTGTTTGTCTTTGACAATGTAGTTTGTAATTACATCGAAGATTCAACATTCAGAAATGACCATGGCAAGATTAGGAAGAGCTGGTTACACTGATATTCAGAATTACACTTGTCCCTAGCTGCTGCAATTGCTCAAAGTGCTCTGTCCTGGTGTGTCACCCTGGTTGAACTACATGATTATGTGTTTGGAAGCTGATATGGCTCACTGATGATATTTACTCTTTTAAGCCTCTCTAGCATCAAACCCTTGAGGAATGTGGATAAGATACAAAAATGGAATGCAGAGATAGCTTAAGGAAAATAATATTAACTGTTCAATATCAGCATTAGCTCTTTGTCAAAAATGCTGTTTTAAGTCTAATGCATCTATTTCTATCTTTAGCTGTGATAAGTCACATCTAATTTCAATTAACTTTTCCTTTTCTCCTCTCTCCCTCCATGAAATAATATTTTTTACTGGTAAACTCAGAATCCCACAGTACAGGGGAATGAGGAACTTTTTGTGGGAACCTGTTGGCAGCCTGTCAAATTCAACAAGCATTCTGCTATAAAATGTCATCGAATATCAACCCTATTTAGGAATTCTTTGGTAAAATGTTGGGAAGTACTTGAATTACAGTTACTAGTTCTCTTGAGAATGACACCAAGGTTTGCTGTTTTCCAAGATGAATCTCTAAGACATGCTATGTTGTTTAACATCCAGAAATTTCCTTACTAATAACAGCAATCATCTGAAAATGAGGTAGGAAAGCTGAACGGAAAGGAGAAAGTTGGTAGTCAAGGAGTGGGATGTATCACAAACTGCCAGTGCACTATAATTACTTACCTGGAACTACTCTTAAAGCATTGTATTACTGTGGTAGTTTGGATTGTTAACATAGAGCCCTGCAGCACTGCTCATGCTTGAACTAAGGACTAGTTTAAGGAAATTCAGCTTGTATATTCTGTATGAGCGTGATTTATTCATGTGCAAATATTTGTTCAATGTTGCTTAGTGATTTGGACTATTGCAATAGTATCTTTAAGAGAAAAGACAGCTTTCAAGTTTTGTGATTTTTTTTTTTTTTTTAAAAAAAAAAAAAAGACATTTGGGATGCTTGTTCTGAGTGATGCTTGAGAGCTGGACATTGTAGCAAGTCATTATTTCCCTTGAGGCATTCAGAAACCTGGTTAAGAATATGCAGCCATTAATCTTTCAGTCTGTATGGGACTGATCAGTCTATTGTCTGGCTATGTAAACATTTGCATTTAGAGAATATTGAGTGCTCTTTATCGCTAACAAATCACATATTATCATCAACTAAAGATGTATCAGTGTTGTCACCCAAGCAGACCACCCACTGCTTTGGCTTTTATAATTTCTTTGTCCGATATTTGCATAGTAGAAGACATTATAATGAGAATCTTCTTTGAAAGGAAGGAATTTCCCTATTTGTGCAGATCTCTGGAGCCTTGGTATACTCTTTATTAGATGTGGAGTTTAAAACATCTGTGTTTAAATTGATCGACTGACATTACTCCAGGGAGAGTAAAACTATTTTCTTATTCTTGATTTTAACCTTTCATAAGCCAGTTGAACATGCTGCTTAGAAATGGAACATGTGCGGCTTTCTCAACCCTTCTGTTCCAGATAGCCCAATTAAAGAGAAATGTGAGGGGTGATTGCTCCAGATG